CCATGTTATTTCTCATCAAAGGGCACTTAGAATTCTAAACAAGAAAAAAAAACGGCGATTGTTAACTCATTCCAGAAATTGGATAACTGGGATGGCGGTATCACAAAAATGAGGGTGAGCAATCCCAAAAAATCATCATGTAAAAAAATTAACGAAACAAAAATTACAGTAACATTGTACCCTAATATTCTATGGTGACGACAACGACACAGTCACTATATGTACGGTTACTATCAAACGTTGAGACGTGTCTGCAATACATGACACCGAGGCGAGCGGTCGCCAAGCGTCGAACGCACCGCGACCGCACTCGCAGGTACCATGTATTGCGGTCGTGGGTCGACGAATGTGACGGTAACTGTCAGCAAGGCGATTTAGGACACGAGATTACGGACTTTGGTTTGCGGACACTATTGCCGCATATTAATAGCTGAAATCTGCTACCTAGTCAGATAGGCCTGCAACATGGTCAGTGCGTACGGAATGAACTGAAGCGACAACCTTCATCTCGAATGAACAGATCATCGAACAGTCTCGAAACCAACTTATTAGTGAAAAGTGTACGGCCGAATAAAGAAGAACGGACTAGTATCGAGGAACGAACACGAAAAACAGCCAGAAATACGCCAGAGACGCATAGAGCAGTATTACCAGCTCGATATCAGCGAACAGACGAGTCGATGGCAATTGTGATCGCAACTCGTCGACGACGGCAAGATCAAGAAAGGCAGAATCCAGTACACATGCCGGATCATCACAACTCTCGCAACCTGAATCGACACGTTTTGGCTATCGAAGGGTAAACAAGATTTGAAAGGAAAATCTGGTCAGCGTCGACATTTCAGTGTTTCTTAAAGGCAGCGATTACGATAGTTCAAGAAGGGTTTAGAGGAGACGTGGTGGTGCTCAATGGTACGCCAGTGGCGAAAAAAAGCGGAGAAATCCGTCAAGAAAACGCAAAACGGGACCCTTTTTTGGCCGTTGGTTTTCACTCATGAACAGGTAACAGCTCAGAAAGCGGACGTATGTGCCGCTGCTGGCACGCAGCTCGTCCAAATCAATGAGTAATAGTGGGCGGATCGCTTTTGGGGGCGGAGCGCTTTCGAAGTCCTGCTCAGCAGCCAGGGCACCTTTCGTCGGTGAGAGCGCCACACTTCGCCTCTTTGGCAGCCAAGTAACTGCCTTCATGTGGTGCATATGCTTCCCCGATGTGCTCCCTTATCGTAATCGCTTCCTTTAAGAATTTGAGTTTCACTCAATTCAAAAGCTTAGCACAGGCAGCTAAGTATTTGCTCCGTTTTGAGCGCTGGTTATGGGAAGTAGGCGTTTGGGTAATTGGCGTTTTACAATTACCGGAGGTACAAGTATTGGTAGAACTTTTGAGATTTCGTTTAATTTTGCTTTTCCGCATGTTTCACACGCCCTCCCTACTCGGCCACACACGCTTACTCGACTATAGCGAAGTCTTACATAGGCCATGGGTTACTGCATGGTGTTCAACTGTGCTCGTTTGATTTCGAAATAGTTACTTTTCTGAATTCATCTCTTCCTTGTGAATGTTTGCATGATCCCTCAAATTTGCTCTATGAAATTGCTTGCTGGTGATAATTTTCGTGTCGGGCACCTCTATGTTGCACCCATCCGGTTAAATCCTCAGTATGGCTATGTAATCTCGGCGGATTTTTTTGGTTCTTATCCTCCCCCCCCCCCGACCTTTCCCGCCCGATGATCGTGTTTGGAAAAGTGGGCCGGTTGGGTAGAGCCGACGTGGGCCAGAGTTGGGTAGTGCCGAATAGTCTCAGAAACAAGCACTATAGGAACACATAGAAACAGTAATAGTGGCGAGAGTGGGTTTCGGGGGGGGGGGATGGGGTCGAAATTGGGGGAGCCTTATAGGGCGATGGTGGTGATGGGGGCTCGTTCGAAACCCCCTAGCCCCCGCTACAGTAGAATCACAGAATTCTTGAAATTTGCGCAGCCCACTTTCGATCTTGGCCATCGGTTACATTGTTATAGTGGTGTTCATTGAACATGGGAGAATTTAACAAATGATTTTGGGGTCTATTCCAGTTAGGGGGCATCATGATGCAGCTTCTCGGCGAACTAGTGTGAACTCGAACATTCCAGCTTTTCACGCATGTCAAGTGACTGCCCTCACCCCCACCCCCTAGACTGGCTACACTCCCCCTGGCTCGGAGTTACCCTAGCTTTTTGGAACGATGCCCCCCTAACTGGAATAGACCCCGATTTTGTTTCCTTATGTCTCCTCCATTCTACTCTTTTATTTACCTTCGTTCTACTCTCTCACATCCTTCCACTAAAGTAACCAAAAATGTTCAATTTGAACCAAATTTTGCCTTTCGTGTGACTCACCGATGCATTCCTCGTCCAGGTAGCTGAGATAGAGGCCACAACAAAGCAGCCAATGAATAACTTTGCCTGAGTAACGGCCGTTATCGACATTCACCAGCTCATGTGAAACAAAAACCCGTCGGAGAAGAGAGGAAGAAACACTGGAGGAGTTCGCAGTCGCCTCTGAACACCTAATGAACACATACTGAATAGATACATATACGACGGATAAAATGAGGAACAGTTTGCTTTGAAAGTCTTCTGAAATCAGACAATTACGGTTTAACGACCAGAGCCACGACGACGCTCATGAAAGCAAGATAAACACAGACAATGTGGAAATTAACTCCCTATTCGGGGAATTGCAACCCGACTTTAAAGGGAAGGGAGTGATTGGGATCACCTCTTTATGCTCTTCCTTCAATGACGTTAATGACGTCACCAAACCCGCACCACCCTCTATTCATCGTGATCGCTGCCTTTAAGGTTACCATTCAGTACATTAGAGTCCATCAATGGAACCAAACCTAAACTGCGCATTCTAAAATCGAAAATTTCGGCTTCATGACTGCTGATATTTCGGTCAGAACGTTTATCGGACTAGAACCTTAGAAAATCGGCAGCAGACCCAAACCCCACCGGAACTCCCGTACAAAAATAAAGCGTAGGCGTATGGTAAGCATTGAAGCGCTTGACCTTAGCGAGAATTCTTACCCTGGTTGTGAAAGCAAGAGATGAGGAAATTACTAATAAGGAATTCCTTCAGTGTGCGCCACGCATCTGACTACTATTCAGAAAAGTCCAGGATTCAAAAAGAAGCTGAACGCGTGGAGGGCTGAGAGTTTCGCGTTCGATATATACCACCACTCTTACCAGCTAAGAGATGTTGCCATTTTTTCTTTCCCTTCAAGCAGTTTTTATTGAGAAACCAAATCAGGACGGGTGAAGGTGTTGACTGGTTAGGGCAGGGTTCTATGGAAGGTCGTGGGAGCAATAAGCGACCTTTACAAACATTGTACTACGTTCTTCTGTCCTTCTGACTGATATTTACCAAATCAAAAGCATAACGTTGTCTGAAGCTACCTATTGGTTGTCCCTGCGAACTCCTCCTCTCGGGCCCCCCGACTGCTGCTGTGTGGGATAGCGGATGACGCGGGGTTGAAAGCCGTCACCACTTCTGGCCGGACCACCCTGCCGCTTCCCGCCGCCTTGTCGTAGCGCTTGCCGATCACGGTCTACTTCAACATCCTCGAGACGCTGAAATACTCCTATCAAAAAAGTGAAAACCTTTCAAAGTCACAAAACAGCCTACCTGTGTAAGTGTGAGCTTTTGCTGGATGGCCAGGCGAAGCAGCTGATTGAGTGTTTTCTTCTCCTCCTCGCTATTGCGTTGATCCGCTTCTAACTCTTCGACCTTCAAACGGCAACATTCAATAAATCTAGATCTCGAAAAATCGTCGTGAGAACTCACCTGAGCTTGAAGTTCTTCACATCGAGCAGTGAACATGGCCCGATGGCTAGCAAAAGTGGCAGCATCTTCTTTGAGCTGTTTCAGCTCACGTCGCATGCGTTCACTGATCTCTCTGAAATGACGGTTTCGAACAATATAACGGATCCTATGAGTCCGCCAACGGTGAAACCAGACCTGGTGGGCTTTCTTGTCAGCCTCGTATTTGTCTCGAAGAGATGCTAGTGCTGACTCGCTGTCAACTTGTTTGACTTCAGCACAGTACGGAGAGTTGAGATCTGATCACAATAAACAAATAATATAAAGGCAAATTCGGGCTCAGACCCGCTAAAACCGTTACACTGCCAACTGCTAGGACACGCGCCCGTGCAAAGTTAGCGCCACTTTCTACATCGAAACCCGTCACCGGGACCTTTAGGCGCCATGAACTTCTAACAGACTCCACCAAACATAACATGGTCCGCCCACCGATCGATGTCTTGTCTGCGTCGCTGCGTTGATCTGCTATGCTCTCTCTTCTCGGAATTCTCTACCACCCTCTGCGCTCACATTATCTCTCATCTCCCTCCCTGTCTTTTGAACTTCTCCACAGCATTGAGCAAAATGCTCGTATTTCCTGTGCATGTCAGGATTTTCTTTCCTTTTTTCTCCATTGGCGGTCCACCTCTCATCCCTACTTTCACATTTGAGTGGAATCAACCCATCAATGTAATCCTGATTCTTGCCTTTAAGTAACAGAATGATTACAGTAGAACTTTTAATGCCATAGTCTAGATATAAATTCGCTCCGTTTTGCACGACGGTATGACTACACTCGTGAAACTACTACTTTTAGTAACCGAACCCAGTATCAGCCAGCGTTTTCCACGTGCCAGTACCGTTTCGCAAAGATCCCAATTCTCTAGATGACAGGCAGCCCTTTGTATAAGCCCCGCCTATTTCGCTAGGCAATTCATATTTGAGCGAGAAGTCGCATGGAAAGAGCAGGACACTTGCACAAAGGTATCGATCATATGAAAAAGATAGGTCTGTGTCAAGTGACGTCATAGAACGTTAGCCTCCCAGCGCATACGGGTTTATGATCAGAAAAAAGTCTCGTTATTTCCAGATTCCATGAAGATTTTTGTAAATCCAAGCACCCCTCTCCGTCCCCACTCCCACCAAAGTAACCAACTCATTGACATTCTGTCGTATTCTAATCACGCACAACCGATTCAAGCACGCAGTGGGCAAACATCGCCGGTGACATACACCCCAGTGAAAAGGCTCACAGAAGGCACCCTGATGGTAGAATTCGTTGGGAGTGACTAGAAAATTCTTTCCAACAATTTATTTTGGAATCCACATCTTCGGAAATGCTGTAAGCAACCTATTACTACGGCGGAAGGTGAAGGATTTGTGCTTCAATTGTAAGCCAGAAAGTCGCTCAAAATGTGTTTACGGACTACTTGAACTTTCTTCCATGGTCCTGCCACGAATGGCGGAGGGCACAGACAGTTAGAGAACGGCGCCTGGCTCGGCTCCAAATCCCAAGGATGCCCTAGGACTAAGCCTTGTAGGAGGGAGGGACTTCGAGGTGGGTGAGCCAACTACAGTGTGGCAAAAGTTTGAATGTGTGAGATCACAATGGTCATGAGCCGCTGATAAGGTGAGAGAGCGCTTAAAGGACCAGGTTCAAGTAGTCCGTCAACCCTCAAAATGTGGGCACATATGACAGACCCAGCTCCTCACGTATGCATGTAAGAAGCAAAGAACTCACCGCTTTGTACTCAGTAGGGATCGGAGCTTCATGTTCTGCATAAGAATGTCGTCAGTTTCGGCTCCACCAGCCGCTATGGCTTGATTGAGTGCCTGTTCAGCGGTTCGTTTCACAGTCGACAGCAACTTCTTCAGGCTGTCGCTTGTCTGCGACAATGGACTGCCATCTGCAAACGTCTTTTTAAT